GTACCCAGGATTCCCAATTTTGGTAACTCCTCATTCATGTGTGCTTTGAGATGATTGGGGGTAGGAAACTTCGACACGTACAACACGCAAATCAGTGCCCAAAAGGCAAGCTCAATGTTATCGACGTAGACGAGAGACCATGTACAGAAACATCCCTGGAGGTCTCAAGCAGTAATCAGGCGCGAAGAACTAGAGAATCAAGACCCAGACAGAAGCCGAGTCAGTCGCGGTTCTTCACCTTTTCGCTCATCGGCGTATGCTTTACCCAGGCCGACATCTTCCACTGGATCAGTCTAGGCCTCTCAACGATGTCCGGGCTGTTGCACTGGGAATAATGCTGAAGTCTACCGGAACCCAATGCCTTCTCCAAGAACGCCGACCTACTTACTATACGTACTGTACTCTACTGTACCCTACTGTACTGTATTGTACTCTATTGTACTCTACTGTACTCTACTAAAATTTTCCTCGACAAACAATATACTGTAAGCTGTATTACTCCGTTAGTGACCGGCAGGTGTGTATATTATGCTATGTCATGCTTCGCGGATGGTCTACACGGGTTATGAGAGTGGCTCATGGCCGAATGATGGAAGGCAATGATCTAGCCGCCGCCCAAGACCTGTGTATGAAAACAGTTATATACAGAGTTTGAATTCCGAAATGCCTGCAGGGTTAATATTTGCAGTCTCGTATCGATGCTGGCCAATGTTCGGTTGCAAATGGATGAGGGGTACCATGCTTGAGATATCGAAGAAGCCTTGCTTGTGGACTATACATGTAGGCCAGAGCGAGGCCCTCTACGGTTGCGACGTCAGTCTGCGGCTCGACAGGTGACGTCCAAGCCAGGAGGCTTGCGTGTGAGGACGATCATAATCCTGGCTAGATCGTCATTGAAATCCGTCATTGGACTCCAAAGCTGCCAGGTTGAGCATTTTCCACCAAACCAGCCGGACCCCGGGAAAGACAAAGTTCCGTAGCCGAACGGCGGCAGTTCCTTTAGTACAGTATTTTGCCGAGTACCTGACGAAGCCCACTTATTGCAGACCGGCAGCAGATTGCAGAGGCTTATGCTTACCTCTGTTGGCTTGAAATGAGAGAGCGCAACGTTGGGAAAGCAGTACAGGTTATCCGGCACGGATCGCCGGCCTCCGACGGCAGCGACCATTCTTGATGGTATTCTAGCAGCAAAGGATGGCTACTGTTTGACAATCACAGTAAACATCCATGGAATAGCTCGGGATACTCTGTAAGCCCCCAGCTCGAAGCAAGGTGACATAGAAGCCTTTTAGCCTCTTTCCATGACAGACAGCAAGTATAACAGAACTCTCATTGAGCTTCCGTTCGAATATCACAAGGAGAGAAGCCTCTCTGAGAATCTTCTTCTTGGTCTCACAGGCGAGAAAGGATGACCATTTGTAAGAAACCACTGGCACATCATGCGATCCGCAGATCGTTTAAAATCTATCCGAGAGTGCTTTAGGTTGATACAGTATGTATGCCCCCCTGTTCTATCATCCTGCAAACGCGAAGCTTGCAGAGCTCGCGGAGACGGATGATTTCGAGCCAGGTCTGACTGATTGTGAACAGTTGCCATCTGAGGTTTGTGGGCTTGCGACGACTTGAGGGTGGAGGGGGGATGAACGCCATACACCCCTGCGTAAAGACTGCGCAAGTTTCTTTCAACAATGCTCTTTATCCTATGAGGAGATCAGCATAGCAGTCCTAACTTCCTTGTGTCTTAAACAAAATCTGATTAGAAGATAGCGAGCGGCAAGAGCTTGGACCACATTTCAAGGTTGTCGCAAGCCCCTACCAGCAGCCTTGTACAGTACAGTACTATGTATCAGGGAGAGGCTCAAAGGCGCCGGCCGTCCTGTGAGCTGCTGACAGACGGTCTTGCCGATGCCATTGACCTGTGTGTCTGCGCTCAAGGTTGCAAAGCAGGACGTTCCAAGGGGTTTGTTCATGGACCGGAACTCCTTCTCACCTGTCAATGGCATATCCAAAGTGCTTGCAACAATCGCTCTTTCAACCAGTTGCGACTTCTGTACAGAATTTGTGGACCCCAAAACATCTGAGACTTGCCTTATCCATTGACTTCGTACTGTAAAATCATCTCGGGGATCTCGTCTGCCTCTCTTGGGAAAAGGCCTAAGAAGCTTGTACTACATCGGAGAGCACTATGTACCATATCAGGGTGAACAAACCTTGCGACAACACAGTATGTAGTCTGGAGATCCAAAGGCGACACCATGACAAGTTGTGTAGTGTACTGTATATTAACGTTGAGCGATACCAGGTCCCTTCGAAAGAACCGTCCCGTGAGCATATCGACAGACAATCCAAGGCCAACAGTGAGAAGCTAGCAAGAAGTGACTCTCAGTAGTCACTTTGAAACGATTACTTTGTTACTATATTGTATCTTACAGTTGTCACACCTACTGACAGAGGCGATTCCAAAGCCCGCGGCGTCAATTTTGCTGGACTGCTCGAGTCATTGCAAGCAATGTAAGAATCTCGACAGACTGTCCTGGTCCTCGAAAATCAGTCTTTCATCATTCCGAGGCACGCCGCTCTTTGTACCGTAAGACAGGGGTATCACTTGATTGAACCCGGTATGAGCTCGCAATGCCCACGCCGGCACGCCGGCATTGACGTTGTCTGCTGGAGTGGGCTGATAGATTATAAAACTCTCGCAGAAATTGCGATGAATGCAAATTGCGGATGCGGACCTGGTTAGCATATAGAGGTCCAAGAGCTACTCAGACTCTCGACCTCGAGATGCTACACAGACTTGTCCTTCCGGATATGCGCCACGTCTTTTACCATACCCTTCCCATGGTTCAACTTTCTTCATAACACCGGCGATCCCGTAGACTTTGATGATTCTTTTGTGACCGGCCGTACCATATTACACGACAGAACTTCGACAGTGTCTTTTAAATACTGCGATGTTACAGAGCTCCAATTCGAATGCTATCACATGACAGGGCCGCCCACTACCATAAGGGTCAACGATATTGGACAGTAAAATGGTTGCTGGAGCCACGTGGTCGAAAGTCGCTCATTTAAGGTGGACTGCTCAGCCGGTATATTTTGATCGATGGGTATGGATGGTACATCTAACCATCAGTCTCACGGGATGGTGGGATTGTGGAGGTCATATCAATCACCTCACCAAGCTGGCAGCGCATACAATATATGGAGTGCCAGATCGGATATGAAGGATGTCTGTCTCGCAGACCTCGACATTGAATATCCTTATGTTCAATCGCAGATATGCTGAGACCTGGACTTGCCAGTAGTCTAGAAAATCTCGTTTGGAGATTTTGTCGCGCAGCAGCTTGGTCTTCGGCATATGGTGCGATTCGTGTCTAACAGAATCGGTGCTATTATGTGCAAGGAAGGCAGAGGTCAACAAAGGTTTGGGGCAATTCCGGAATTCAATCACTCCGTGTAAAGGTTCGCTGTGCACAAAGAACCAACAGACACAGAGCATCTGTGGCATACGAAGCGTCTCTAATTGCTTTTCTAGACTGGTTCGGGCGCAAGTCAGAGGATGCCTTATGCAGATGAGGATCGTCAGCGGAATGGCGTATTAGGCCGGCTGGGATCAGGATCTAACCTCAGACTATCTGTCAATTGACTCCGTCACCAAAGTGCCCACGTCCGGTCAAGCAGGCTTGACCGGATGAGCCTCTGAAGCTGATATTGCAGGTGTCATAGGCATCATCTGCATAGAGATTGCTATGTAACCACTGTCAAAGCAGGCAGGTGCAATACGTTATCAACATCGTCTGGGCACTGGATAAGAAGACAGCGTTCACGGATGTCCTGTGATACTGAATTAACAGACTGCAATCAGCCATGGCATCCGATCGAAGGCTGTCTGAAGGTTTTCAAGAGTGGGTCTTACAAGGTAAGACCTCTCTCTTATTGATCTTTGACTTGAGATCAACCTCACATATACAAAAATTGGATACTGTATCACACGTCTGGATAGCTCTGGTTAGCGTCCAGCCCTCTTGGCTTCAGCTTTTGCAACGCCTTGGGGGTATCCCGGCATCGCTCGATAGCTACATTATGTCACGATACTGGCGGTCCGGGACGACATTCTCAAAGTCATGTGGAGCCAGTGAGTAAGTCTGGCCTCCATACTGGCGGCCGCTTTGTGAGGCAGATGACGCTTTGATTCCAGAACATTGGCCTCTAGACGCCGATGCATTTGTCAGTTCAGATATTGATCGGAAGTAGTACTGTATGACGTTGACAGCTGGTGCGAACCGGTGGAGAGCCAGGCTTTCCTTGGAAGACTGCCTGTCTCCGTCCCAAACTGGTCCTGAATTTACCTTCGAGGGGACGTTTCCAGAGTCAAAATCATGATATCTTCGGGCCGCTGTCCGGCTGAGGGATGCTCATCAAGTCCTGCCATCAGTCATGTCGGCTCTCCGGTCTATCATAGTTCAAGATAACGCATGTGAGTTGCTTAATAGGTAGGTACGCCCCCCCTATCTCAAGCCTCCTTTCTCCGATAGGTCATCCGAGGCCTACAACCCGAAGCCCCTGTCATCAATATGCGTATGCAGTGAGAAGGCACGATCAGTTCCGGAAAGTCACTCGCTGAACGGGTGCCTCAACACGATCGCAGTGAGAAATCAAATGTAAGCTGGCCTTTCGAGGACCCGGGTCAAGACACTCGCTCTCATTGAATGAGCATCTTTGGTGAGAGACAGTATCATGATGCACGAAATCTGATTACAAGCATATGGCAGTGACCTCTCTGCATCTTATGATTCCAACCCTCGTTGACTCCAGCTTTCTTCGGGTGTCACCTGCGATCAATTCGGGGTTGATGGGAAGGATGGATATGGTGCTCGGCCTCTTTCAAAGGGTCCGGTAGATTAAGTCACGAGGCGGAAATGTAACCACGTGGTCAATTTTGGTTCCGTTGCCCCCCGTGTTGTTTGTTTTCTTCATCTTTCATTCTTCTCACCGTACTCGCTACGGTTGAAGCAATATGCCTCCCCGAACAGTCTCAATCCAGCATGAAGGTGCTGGACCATCCTCACCTTTCACCTCCAGCAACACCCGAAGTACCGATGTGGAAGCAGCTCAGGTCCGGGATGCTGACTTTGACAAGGGAAGCCTTATAACAGCTCCTCGTATGCTGTTCCGGGAGCTTGGCTTTCAGTGGTCCTCTGTTATGAAAGCTTGGAGGTGAGCTGCGGTCTAAGAAACATGTATAGCTGTCTCTAGTCAGTCGATGGATGCTGACGATCGTTCAGCCATAAAGATATCAGATGCGCGATGGTTGATGCCGATGAACCAACATACCTCCCTCATATGTTTGTCTCCCGACAGGACGGCCCCCTCTCCTGTCATCTCTTTCTTCAAGACTGTGCTCGATGCAGTTCAGATACAAAGTTCACCAAGTTCTGCCCCTTGAACTACAAGAACAGCATCCACATCCATGCGTTTCTAGACTCTCAGATCATATACCGGGACGGCGATATACTGGAGCAGAAATCATTTCGGGATGAGGAGGACGGGCATCAGGGTGTAGATTGGGCGGAGCTAGGAGAAGAGATAAGGATATGGGAGGAAAGCGGAGATGAGGTTGAGCGGGTTTACACTCTTCGACCAAGCGACCGACGTGCTCGAGAGGGCTTCCGCGAACGTGTCACTCCGCCTACCGTCGATGGTCGCCCAACAGCAAGATCATACTTCGTCCAAAGACAGAGAGACGCGAGCCTGGACCAAGCTGTCGACATCAGATCCATGTGTGAACATGTACTGAACTGGAAGTTGCCGTTATGCAAGAGGGATGAGCAGCGAAGGCCGAACATGGGTCAGAAGAGACAACGAGACGCCGGTAGCGAGGTATGCTTAACAAATGATCAGCAAGACGAGGCCTAACATCATTCGCAGGCTAACTTGGTCAAACGCCCGCGAAGACGTGCTGCTCGAAGCATGGATGGCAATACGACAGAGAGACCGAACCCGGTGCATCGTCTGCCATACGATCCACAAGACATACACGGGCAAGAGGTAAGTATTGCATCATCTTGGCCGTATCTCTGCTGATACCATGGCAGAACGTTGAGACTGGACGCAATGCTGCAAGCCCTCTGTCTTACTCAATTCACTCAAGTCATCGACAAGAGTTTCCGTCTCCTCGATCAGATACTCCTCAACATGTAGGTCTGGTGATCACAGTGTCAGGCGCGAAGCTGAAGCAGAGCATCGGCAGGATTTTGAATTTGGGCCTGATATGATGGAAGTCCCGGACCATACCTCTGCGTCCGGCAATCACGGCAGCGGGGCATGCGACAACGGCGGAAGTGATGAAGAGGAATCGTCCAGATGCTCCGTGAGTGAGAATGTAGCGAATTGAATGCCGAGACTCGTAGGACAAGGCTGATCGTAGACGTAAGGAAGCCGACTCGGACAAAATTGAAAGGCTGGAACGGACGGTGAAAAATCAGGATATCTTGATCAGATCCCTTCAACGTCAAGTCGACAGGTTCGAGCGAGATCCTCAGTACCAAGAGTTGACCGAGGAGATAGAGGTGCTACACGAGCATATCAAATCCGTCAAAGAGAGGCATCTCAAAGAAGTCGAAGACGATCTCCCTAATGCGGAGCTTGTGGAAGACCTTCACACGGCTCGATTAGATCTATCCTGCTTGAAAATCAAGTTCAACATTTTCACTGACGCCATCATGGATGAGTCCCGGGGCAAGCGTCACATGCCCTTTCTTGAAGCGGTGACCCGAAAGCAAAGACTCGAATGTGGACGTCTCAGACGCCTAGAAGATGAGAACAAAGAGCTCGAGACGGAGCTTGACGAGGTTCGGAAGGAGCTTCGTGTGCTGCGCAAGCGAAAATACGACGAGAACAAGCTTATACAGGAAGCGGAAAGCGAACGGAGGCAGTATGAGTCTTGGAAAACGAAGAACGATCGTATTCTGAAGCGATTGGAGAACGAAAAGGCCGAAGCTATAAAGTCTCTCCAGGAGGGAGAATCCAGACATTCGCGGGTCATCGAAACATTGAAGGCTCGCATGGAGGAAATTCTTCACGAGAAAATGGAAATGGCTAGAGCATCAAGAGACGCTGAATACGAAACATCGCTACAGTTGGAAGAGCTCACATCCGTGAAGGCCGAATCAGTCGAAGCTCATAAACGACTTCAGGAGGAGAGAGACGACCACGCGAAACTGCGCCATGATCTTGAAGCGACTATCGAGGAATTGCTCCACGAGACTGAAGGCCTCTCCTCAGCACTGAACAACTCAATTGCGACGAGTGTCCATCTCAGACAGGAAAAGGCTCGATTGATTGGCGACATCCGTCGACGACGGCAGGACTCACTGGACATGCTCGACTTGGAAACGGCTGCTCATACAGATGCTCGAGCTACGATTGGTCAATTACGTCTCGATCAATCGCTGCGGGATCAACGCGAGTTGCAACTTGGGCTGGAACTTGATGCCAGTGTCATGGCAGCCTTGCACTTAGTCGAGCAGCTGGCGAGCGCGGAGCAGGAGATCCAAACGTTTGAAGATACTACGGACGTGCTCTTATGTCGCCTAGGTGAGGCTTCAGAAGACATTTCAAGAATTACGGCCCAATTGGTCGCCAGCTCCGAGAAGCGTGAGGCATTGGAAGAGGAATTGAGGAGGTATCGGGCGCAGAACTCCGACCTCGAAGGATTGTTTACCGATGTCAAGCGAGCGATGGACAATTTTGGAGAGAGGCGGGAATAGGTGGTGACTTGGATTGTACAGTAGTCCAGGATTCTGACTTGAAGGCCAGGCAAGGGAAAAGGTAGCTTGAGAGGCACCGATTGATAAAGGTCAATGGGTCAAGGTTGTAGACTAGCGTCTTGTATGCATAGTACTTGATTCAGTGCATGACACTCAGTGATGGGACGCCACGACATTCCTTCCATTTATTCTGGCTCAAGATGGACTGCATTTGACTGTGATATCCCCTTGTACCGAAGCTTTTTTCTCCAGCTACTGTAGCTCGTGATGTCTGTCGATTAAGCACGACCGTGAATCCTCTATGAGCTCATCAGCGGCGGACTGATGGTACGTAACATCTGGCGTTTTATCCTTCTGTTGGATTCACTTTAGAGACAATGGCACAAATGACTATTCTGCGATACGAACCTTTCCAGATACAGACAAGCTGTAGTTAGGCAGACAATCGGATCAAGCTCAGAGCTACGATGAGACGAGTCGCTAGGTCCCTGCTTCCGAAGCATTGATTTCGCCTTTTACCTACTCCGGCTCGACATCCAAACAGCCCCCGAGTCCCCGCCAAAGCAGTCCATCTCTTTCTGTTGCCTTGAAACGATTGACAGTTGAGATGTCATGCTACGACAATCAGATCAAGTCCTATCTTCTGACAGACCTTGCTTTCGTGAGCCAATTTCCAATATCGCCTCAGAACGTCAATGACACCGCTGTCACCCTTTTTGACCGACTCTCAATGAGACAGGAAGTATCCGGCGGGCAAGTCCAGGAAGAAGCCTCCGCGATCGTGCCATGCCTTATTGTCCCACATTCCCAGACGGCAATCTGAGATTGAGCTAGGAATTTCACGCTATGCCTACCATTTAGATGGACAGTCTCTTTCTGGATGCATCTGCTGACATCATCGAATGCTACCGTCCAGTCCGCGGTGCCAGCTTCTAAAAGTGCCCCAATGGTCTGATTGATGTGTGCCAGCTGGTAACAAGCGTCAAGATTGTCATTGGGAGTCGACTCACTGCGGCCTTCTGCCTGTTGATCTTGCTCTGCCTGTCTCTCCGATGCGCTGCTATCTCCTCCTTGATCTGATCGCTTGATATATGGGTGGAGTCGGGGACCGGTCCCAGGCGGGCCATAAGTATATCAGATGACCCCACTTGGATGGATGACAGCGACATGTCGAGGAGGGGAGATCGCAGCTCAGACAGCTCAAAAGCGGTCGGGATGGATCTGTCCGACTCCAGGGCTATCAGCTCGAGCTGTTCTATGGGTAGACTCAATACTTACCGTATGGTCATATGATGTGTGCCGACCATGTCCCATACTGGTCCTGTCGCCAGGGATAGACGCTGCGAGTTTAGCATTTCTGCTCAGAACACTGACTCTCATCTGATTCACTCCCTCGATCGTTCTCGGCAAGACCGTGGGGTGCATTTGAGTTCTGCTCCGAGCCCGTATGGTCCAGTCCGTCAGTGATCGTGGTCTCGTCCAAGCGCATGGGGAGTCGACCGTCAGCGGGGGTGAAGAAAGACACCCCCACATACCCCGATGCTATTGACCGGTTTTGCTCATCCATAGTAACTGGTGATATGTTTGGAGTGGAGCGGGAAACGCAATCTCTTGGCATCGAGTCGAGTGGGAGTAAAATAGAAAAATAATTAAATAACCACGCGGTAGAATGCATATAAAAATTTTCCACATTCATTTCCCTCTTACTTTGTACTTCCTTCTACCTGCGGACATGCCCTTGGACCTCGCCGCAGCCACTCCTGCTCCTACGTCGGAGGTTGACGGTGAGATACCGTTTGTCTGAGAGTAGCTCATAGTTCACAGTTGAGAAGCTTCTTGCCGACTATTGCGACAGAGGTGGCTCTGTCGCTCGTCTCAAGGACATTTGGGTGGGCGCTGTGAGGAGGATCTTCAGCCTAATGTAGCTTAGCTCGTGATCAATCGCAACCAACTTGGTACCTCAACATTCTCCTCTGAGGCTGGAAATCAGGACAATTCCATGAACCCCGTCGATGTACTCTTGGAAAGAGTCCAGAACGATTTGGGCTCTCAGTGCATCATTGCTCTCGGCGAATCGTAGGCAGCATTAGATTTGGATGGCGCTGACATTCACACAGGGGTGCAGGCAAAACATACAACCTGCAACGTATGGTCGGAAAGCTCGACAGTCTCCGCGCTGGGACATGTGACTCACAAGCAGATATATTGAAAGCATTGGAGTCCTTCAGCACGGCCGAGACAATGCTCAACAGATGCTCAACTCGTATGGGTACCATCAACCATGTGAGCACCTGTTTTGGTCTGTATGTAGCTTGAGCCCCTCTGACTCGTCACAGTACATCTTGACTCCCAATGGGAACGGCATCCAGTCATGTCGGATTCTTCCCTTTGCACTCGAGACATCGCGAGTCTGCATGCTCCCAAGACCGGCCCATCAATCCAATTTTCTCATCCTCCATCAGTTAGGAGCAGCGAAGCACTCCGGACATCATTTCAGGCTGCTTCCCGATTGCAAGTACCACACGAACATCGAGTTGAAGCGGTCTTGGGAAGCTACCGAAGAGATGATGAGCAAAGGACTGGGTCCCGATACATGGGCGGCCGTTGTGGAGGCTCTGACTGCCATTCTTCATTTGGGCAATGTCACGGCCAACAACTTCAAGGCGATTGAAGACGCCAGCCTGGGGCTGGGGGTGACTAGCGCCGAGCTCGCCGACTATCTCCTGAAGTCTGCATTGCCGGAAGGCTCTAGGAAGAGCTCAGAACAGGTCACGGTCACAAGGGATGCTATGATCAAAGCTTTGTACCGCGCTTTGCTGGACGTGAGCATGAGGACTGCTCTATAATTGACGCATCAGTTTGTCGTACAACAGATCAACGAGCAAGGCGGAGCCGGTAAAGAAGCCGAAAACGGCCCCAGCATCAGTCTTGTCGATATGGTATGACTTGTTGCGATGTAAGAGCTGACATGGAAGATCGGTTTCGAGGATTTCGACGATAGTAACTGCCTTGAGCAGCTGCTCATCAATTACCTCAACGAGGAATTGCACCAAGCTGTGAGCCTGTCCACGATCATGCTATTGCCTCATCTCACCGACTCCAGTACGTCACGGGTATGATCAAGGTAAGTCGACACTGCTACTCTTGACCGGGACCTCGAGCTCACAAAGTCAGCAAACTCGAGATGATCTGGCCGCCGACGGCATACGGCTTGATAATGCTGACTTTGCCCCCTCATCAACCATTTCAAAGGCGCGCCAGGTCATTGAGACGCTCAACGATCGCTCACGCCAGCCTGGAGGTCCTCCCTTGGTGAAGTCTCTGGAGGCTCTCCATTTGATTTCGGAAAATTCAACCACCTTCGAGGTTGAGGTTGCCGCGTTCGACCACTGGGCGGGCAGAGTGAAATATAACTGGAAGGACATGGTCCTCCAGAACAGATCGTCTCTGCCTCACGGTCTATGGACACTTTTCGGAAACTCCGAGAATGCCGTCGTACGTTACGTTGGAAATATTGGTATGAACCAGAAGGGACCGTCCAACAAGCCGGTTGCTGGTCAATTGCAGGATAATATCAAGTTCGTTCTTCAGACACTGGGCAAGGCACAGCTTCACTCTATCATCTGCATCCGGCCAGCGCGAGCGACGTCCAAATCAACTTGGGATACCGCCGCGATATTGGACCAACTTCGGGCGGGCTCAATGAGGGACGCCCTAAAGCTCAAAGAAGCAGTCTGGGAAGTCTGTATTCCCAAAGTGGTATTTCAAGACCGGTAAGCCTCATTACAAGCTCCTGACCGGCTTTGCTTATTCTCACTAGGTACTGTCCCGCGGTGCCTCTCGTCGAATGGCTCAAAACTGCCGTACCATCTGGAGACTACGCAATCGGGAACAAAAACTTGTACCTGAGAGAACAAGATGCGACAAGAATCAAGGCTGACTGTAGGTGCCGACATAGGGACGTGCTAATGCGGAGCTGCCACACAATCTCTGTTCCCAACTCTGCTTGGCCCGGCGGATCTGGAGACAGAAAACGACAAGTCTGCTTGCGACGACTCTGTTTTTCTTGGTCAAGGCGACCTTACAATGCAGTTTCTCGACAGCTCATATTTGGACAGTGACGATCTTCTCAAGGAGCGTCGAAATCGAGAATTGGCCGAGACACTTTTGTCTCACGCGAATTCACGAATCGCTGAGCTCGAGGATCAGGTCAGAGTATGCGCCGAGATCAATGCCCAGCAGCGAAAGACGATTGAAGGTAGGAAGCAGTTAGAGTCGGCAGTCATTCAACTCCGGCGCGAACTCCACGACATCGGCAAGGAAAAGCGGGAACTGGACCGCGTATGCGTCGACTTGCGTTTGGATCTCTCCGCAGCCTTGACTCAAGTGGATCATCTCACTTCATCCAACAAAGATATCCTTGAGACAGCCGCTGCAGACAAAATGACCCTCGAAAGTCAGGTTTCCCGCCTATCAGAAGATCTGGCAGCCTCGAAAGATCAGCTGGTGACCTTCCAAACATCAGTGATCGCCACCGTCAGCTTCCTCTGCTCAATGCCGGACGTCATGCGAAAAAATCCTCATGCGTGTGCAATCAATGCAGCGGTGGAGATTCTCCACACGTTGGTCCAGGCCTTCCTCCCGGTTGAGAGAGGAACAGGGTGGGATTCGAAGGCAGAGGAGATCAGAACCATGTTGGTCACCATGTCAAGGGTGAGATCGATTTATTATACTGTACTTCTGCTGAAAGACATCAGTCTGCACCTGGGGGCTTTCGGACTGCAATACTTGCGTTTCTCGTGTCGAAAGGGCTCAATGGCCAGTACCCCAATGTGGCTCATTTCATAGCCGCACAGAAGGCCATCTGGAAGACAATTCCACAACGCGCCGGTCTTGATACTACTTTACAGAAGAACGCCAACCGGATCAAGATTTCCAATATCGAGACCTTGCTCAGAGAGGTTCATCAGGATTGCAATATGCTTGCAGAGACTGACAGGACAGCCTTGATGGAGACCTTTCAATCTCAGATCATAGAGGCTGTGACGAAAGGTCAGATCCGCCATGTCGCATCGTGCGAAGTCGAGACTCTGAGAGCTGCTCTCAGCAGAATCATCTTTGCAACGGAGGCTGACTGAAGAAGTGCCACTCTCGGCGTTTTGATCATTCTTGGCGTTTCAAATAAATTACCGCATGCATCCCCATTCCACTTCGCAACCCCATTCCTCATTGATTGCCCACAGGTCTGCTTTGCATACTATTACCATACTTCCGCATACTACATCGGTCATAGTACCGTAGTGCTGCCCGCTTCAACCAAGCACAGATCAAAGACCCTTACACCGATGAACACCCCAACTTATGCCGAGGTGGTGAAAGGTACAAGTCGTATTCGAGTCGAAGAGCCTCCGACGCCTTGGGTTCTAGTTCACTTGGACACGTTGTCACAAGAGGGTCAAGACAGAGAACAGGAACGCGGTGAGTACACTTTATAGGCTGGTCTCATGCTCCTAGAGGCAGCAAGACGTCCCAGAAATGTCACTCGCGAGATTCCACGCACACCTCCTACACCAACTCCACTGCCAAAGCTCCTCAACCAAGGCGGAGAATCTCTTTCTTCGTCAAATCAAGGTGACACTGGCCAAACTCTACCCCGAAGGTCCCCTCTGCCCTCTGAATGGTCACTTTCCTCAGGTTTGCTCCGTTTATGGTATGGCTTGCTGTCACTGACCTCTCTGTAGGTTTCACGTCGGCAGAAGACTCGACAGCTACTCGTGTCACCGCTACATACCATACGATACCGCTACATGCCATCCCCAGCACGATCTCTACACCCAGCCCAGTCAATGTCAGCAGCAATGTTTGGCCCGAAGCACTATCCGACCCCGAGAGTATGATGGCACCCAACACACCAGCAAGAAAGCCTATCGAGAGTCTTGGGGCAGGCTGTCAATCAGGTCTAGGATCTCGTGAGCCCCCTCTGAGCCTCGGGTCAGTGGATGGCCATTCCGTTTCTGCCTCTTCGCCCCTTCCGGAAAGAGGACCTCCTGGGGCACGGCTCAGTGGGATTCAATCTCCTGATCGGATCCGGACGTTGCTGGCTTTCGCCGAATCTCCATTCAGCGCTGTGCGACGAGACGATGCGTCAGATCTGTCTTCCAACACCAGCATGGCTGGATTCGAGACCCCATCGAGCTCGCCGCATCATCTGGCTACCTGCTCCCCCAGTCAGATCCTTCGTATGCTGGATTACTCAGATTGGCTCCCAACTCCCGCTGTATCTCGAATCGGCCCTCAAAGAGTATACCTACCGATGGACCGTGAAGGTAAAGGTGGAATCGTACCTCTGCGCAGATCTGATGGTCCGAACGGTCAACAAGTCGACGGTCTGAACCCAATAGTGCCAAATTCGGCAGCAGTTCCTTCAACATCAAAGGATCTGTTGAGCTCAACCGAGTGCAAACCATCGTCTGGCACCCCCGAATGTCTTGGAGCCGCCTCCGAACTCAGTCTTAGATCTCCGAGCTTGCCGACAGCCAGCATCAAGACCAATCAACTCGAACCCAATGACCTGTCAACCTACCAAAGCCAGGAGCCTCAACGGAGTGTACCTGCCTCGGTATTTACCTTATCACTGGAACACCTGCCTGTGGTCACAGAAATGACTGGCATCGACAGCACCATCTCCTCCGCGTCCGTCGCAGCACATGTCCACGATACTGGTTCCCCCTCAATCCCTCTTTTGTCAATCACTTCATTCCCCGCGCCTGAACTCGCACCTCAATTTCCCGAGACAGCTTTTGCTCTGGTGAACCATCATCCATCGGGCCCTTCGAAAGGTAAATTTCCGGAAACGTACGAAAGCCATTCATCTCCTGGTCTCACCAATTCCTCCTCATCCGTCAACTATAAGCAATATCAGTTGCAACGACGACCCTGGTCATCTCCCTATGCAGCCGATACGTCGATACCGGAGCCAAGCCACTCAGTCCTAGACCGGGGGATAGGTGATACTGGCTCTGATATCCACCAGCTGGATCCTGGCTTCGCTAAATCAAGAACAGATGGATCAATTCACTCTGTTGGGAGCCTGAATACAGAGGCGCTCTCCTCAACTACTAGAAAACAGCCTCAGCTGTTGGCTGGTGCCGTGTCGGATGCGGCGACGTGGATGAGGCATGATCCCCAGGATTTCCATGACAATCAACTCCCAGACCTGCTCGGGAAGATTCGTGTGCATCACCTCAATGGACGAGATGGTGCCGAGGTAGAGCGACGGATTGAGCAAGAACAACTTGAGAGACGGACACAGCAGTCGATGTTGCAAGCAAGACTGCCTGTTTGGGAGAGGCGTGGTAAGAAGGGTCCAGAGAATTGATCTCAAGAGTCAACAGAGGCGCTTGCCCAAACCAGAGTCTGAACACCGTGGATGATGGTTCCTCACTACTTCAGCGCTATGTATGAAATTCAATTCTCGCTAGGAGACCGCAATGGCGTGAAACGATCCTACCGTTTCCCCTTGTTGTGTCTTTTCGTTTCATTGATGACGCCTTACGTGCAACGGTTCAAGGCAAAAACCCTACCCATCTTGAATTATTTGTGTTCTACGAACAAGTCCGTTATTAAAGTGAGTGCATATCCACTCGAAGCTAGACGCGGCTCCACAAGATACCATCTAGGCGTCTCTATGCAGCCCTCTGACGGCCCGGCCATTGTCTTCCATCATGCGGGATCGCCGATAAAACATTGCGAATTGCATTTGCAAAATTTTTGCAAAACGGGTAATCTTTTTCCTCCCAATTATTTAAAAAAAAAGGCAGTCCAGGCTGGTCGGGCGGCATCGCTAGAATTACTGTAAGAGCCTCCTCGAGTTCTTCCAGACCCACTCGCAGT